AGGCACAGGGACAGGACAGCATGAGCAAGTACTCTCTCGCACACCCTTGTAAGGAAGAGCAGGAGGGCAATGGCTGGACTAGCAGCATTGCTGGCCCCTGCCAGCCCACACAGGAGGAGTTAGCTACCTGCATCTGATGGATGAAATACTAAAAGCAGGAAATAAACATCCCTTTGCCCCATGTCCCCAAATGGCAACACTTTTTAATGTTGTCCATTGGCACATCCCACATATGCTTGAAGATGTTTCAACATCCTCATGTAGGCAGAGGATGGTTTAAAACCAGGACTCAGCTCTCGTACATTTTTCATTTACTCCCTGCTGTGTTATTCGGGTACCAGGAATAAAATTATGTGTAACCTCACTTCCTTCCAAACTAGCCACCTCAAGCATGTCCCGTTTGTCTTCCATTTTTAAGGCTTGCACAGGAAGGCCTTCAATGACAGAAAGCTCTCGTGGTGCAACAGATTCACAAGGCTAACAAAAACGTGTTTTCAGCTTCGCAGCTAACCCCAGCCAGAGTCAGTCCACCTTCCCAAAAGCACACACTGTGGTTTTCCAGTCCCTCTTGACTCATGGTCTCACATCAGCATTGCAAAAACCTCACTGAGGTGCACTCCTGCTGCCAGCTATCATTGGTCAGGGTGCAGAACTGCAAAGGTTTCACATGAGCACTGCCACAGGGCGTCTTCAGAATTTCTCTCAATGTAGGCTTACTCCATTCCCATTTTTATATCCAAATCCGCTCAGACTGTCAGCTGTTTGCTCTGCTTTTATTACCATTGCCCCACTACACCTCCTCAACAAATTAATCTCCCATTTCTCTAAAGTATACATTTCAATTACAGCAGGCAGCTCACCAAACATATACTGCTGCTTGCTGCCAAGAAAAGTTACAGGCTCTTCCCAAAGCTGCTTTCGCCAGAGAACATGAATGTACGGAAGGACGAAACTACCATGTTAAGAGAGTCATACGTCTTTTTTAAAGCTACAGCATGCAGATGCATGTCAAGGGCCCATGCACAAGGTGCCAGAGCAATGCTCCTGCATTTCACAGCGCTAGGCTGAGTCATGAGAATAGGTACAGAGCTAGAAGCACTGGGAGAAGGAGGATGCTGTTCAAAACATACGGCAAGTCATAAAGAATTGCTGCCAGTCAGCAACAATCAAAGGGGAACAAACCCAATTTGTTTTTTGGGGTGGCACACTATAGTTCTCTGTTTCTTTTAAAAGCAAAAATAATCACAGTCACTTGATACCTAATCACTGTAACTGAGCGGACACAAATCAGCATATTACATAACCTGCCACCCACAAACCACAAATGCCAACATAACAAAGCAGAGCGTTTTCAGGTTTATCTCCAGGTTCCCAGCCTAAGCACACAATGAGAGAGATAAGGAATGCCACAGACTTGTAAACACATAGTGACAGTGGGGTAACAACAAAAGAAGTGATCCCCTCCATCAGCAGGGTATGATGCTCTGCTTGCGCCCAGTACCCAGCTACCGCCTCAAGGGTGTACAGAAATGGCAATTTCATTTATCTATATAAGAGAGGAATGAAAAAAGGTAAAGACATATCCAAGTTGCACATGAGGGAAGCAGGAGATACTTCAGTAATCCTGCAACGATTTTGAGAGGCAATGCTTTCACGTACAGAAACATCCATACATATTTTTTGTCTCATTTCACACACTGTAAATGGATTCAGTGTGCTAATGCAATGCTCTGGCCAACACAAACCTAACAGAGATGGCCAAAGCACACCAAAGAAATGAA